GCAAGTTGAGTATTATGTGGGAAAATATGAAGTTGTTTATTTTGGAAGAGAAAACTAAAGAACAATATTATCTATAAATTAGAAAAACTGCATAAAACGTATCACCAAGAGACCTGGGGAGTACTTGTGTACGAAACACAAGAGAGCTTGTACGCAGGCGTGGCAGGTAATAAGGAAGACTAATGGAATGTTGGCCCTTACTTCGAGATGGTTGGAGTATAGGAGTAGAAAAGTCTTACTGCAACTGTGCAAGGTATTGGTGAGGCCACATCTAGAGTAGTGTAGGCAATTTTGGTCCCCTTATTTAAGGAAAGATATCATTTCATTGGAGGCAGTTCAGAAAAGGTTCACTAGAATGATCCCTGGTATGGTAGGATTGACTTATGAGCAAGGGTTTAGCAGGTTGGGATTTAGATCAGAATTTAGAAGAACGAGAGGTGATCTCCTTGAAAAATACAGGATTCTTAAAGGGCTTGACAGGATAAATGCTGAGAGGATGTTCCCCCTCATTGGAGAGTGTAGGACCAGAGGGCATAGTCTCAGAATAAAGGGGCACCACTTTAAGACTGAGATCCTAGAATCGCTACTATGCAGAAAGAGGCCATTTGGCCCATTGAATCTGCACTGATCCTCCAAAGAGCATCCCACCCAGACCCAGACACCCACACTGTAACCCCACATTTACTATGGCTAACCTACCTTGCTTGCACATCCTGGACATTATGGGCAATTTAGCACGGCCAATCCGCCTAACCTGCACATCTTTGGACTGTGGGAAGAGTACCCAGTGGAAACCCACGAACTCAACAGGGGAACGTCCAAACACCACACAGTCAGTCACCCCAGGCTGGGATAGAACCCAGTGAGCAGTGCTAGCCACTGAGCTACCATGAGGAGGAATTTCTTCTGTCAGAGGGCTGTGAGTCTTTGGAACTCCTTGCCACAGAGAGTTGTGAGGGCAGAGTCCTTATGTGTACTTAAGGCTGACATAGATTCTTGATCAGTAGGGGAATCAAGAATTATGGGATAGGGCAGGAAAGTGGACGTGAGGAAAGTCAGATCAGCCATGATCCTATTGAGTGGTGGAGTAGGTTCAAGGAGCTGAATGACTTACTCCTGTATCTGTTTCTTTTGGCTTATGGTTTTAAGGCTCATGGGATTATATCTTGCTTGTTTTCTGAAGAGACTGGTGTATCCAAATAGCTTCCAGCAGGCTCTGAAGAATGTTCACTTAATACTTATAACTGAGATCCTATTCTCTGAACTTACAATAAATTAATAATGGGAGAACAACCAGGGAGCAATTAAACCTCCATCCTGTAGCTTTCATAGGCACAAACATTCTGACTTAAATATAATTCAAAAACAAGTTCAAACTTTGGTTTATCTTTGTTAGATTGGTTGTCTTCCTTTAAAGCCCCACTTAATATTCAATATCTGCCACGGTTTAAGCATAATGCATCTCTGGAACTGAAATGACTAGCGTTCTTTGAACAAGAATCAACCTGCATTTAACTTCCGGGCCTGGCCTCATAGACAAATATCAGTTTTTTTTTGTTCTCTTTCTTTTAAAATAAGTTGCTGCTCATAGTCCAAAGGTCACCTTTAGCTCTCAGCTCACAATTCACAGCTCCAAACTAAAAGTAAGAAAAATGAAATTGAAAAATCAGCAAGGGTTCTAACACTTGCTTGTGCATGGTCTTCAGTATCCGCACTGAAGAGTGAGATTTCATCTGTATACTCAGGAAGGAGCCAATTTTGCTAGGCTGGAATTATTTCTAAAATGTGCATGCTGTTCATTTGGCAATGCCCAAAACTCTAACTACAACTGTGTATATGTTGCTGTGGTGAGGAGATTAACTGGTTTAAAATGTATAGACGTAACACTTTGTAACAGGAATTACTGACTAGGAGATGTGTTTCATTTGAAGGAAATCTGTTCAACTCACAGCAGTCTCTACAAGCTCCATAAAAGATGTTTGTGAGTGCGTCAGTCTTGACATTGCCAATTGTCAAAGTTAGAAATGCAGGTCCCTTTATGGGCCAAATAGAACAGCTCCAGAAAGAACTGGGTTCTGAAGAGAAAAAAATATATAACTTTTAAAAATAAGCAGAAAAAAAGCTGGGCACGAAGATCCTCGTTAGTATGGTGGTTAGTATCCCCACCTTTCATGCAGGAAACTAGATTTTAATTCCTCGACATATGTGGACTGATGTTGGTGATAGCTGCGTGTAAATTAGAGTTGGATTCTTAGAGGATTGAGCACCATGGGGGCTGCAGTACAAGGTTTCCCCCACCAAAGCCAAGGATTTTGTCCCTCCCTTGTTTTACACACTTATTTGATTTTTGTTCTTATTGCACTTCCCTGTGGCCAGTGCTTCCGATTCAGATGAGTGGTTTTCTGGTGAGCTATTCAAAAATAAGAGCTAGGCTTCGGGCTCTTATGGTGCAGTGGCAGTGTTCCTATCCCTAGTCCAGAAGATCTGGGTTTAAATCCCACCTGCTCCACAGGTATGTCATAACATCTGAACAGATTGATTCAAAATATCATGAGGTGGGTTCCTGTGTGTGATGTCCAGCAGAAGCCTGGAAGCATTTTGGAATGGGTGGGTACCACAAAGACTGGAGTGCATTTTCTCTTCCTGACACGATTTTGATTTAGTCTCCCTAGTATTTGCTTTCAGTTTGTTTAAAAGGAACTAGATTCTTCCCCAGTGGGAAGTGGTCTACTGGATGTGGAAAAGGTCCAGAAGAGAACAGTGGAAACTGATGTTTGTGCTAAGTTATAAATATATAATAAAATCTTTGTAAATACAGTCATAGACATGTACAGCATAGAAACAGACCCTTTGGTCCAACTTGTCCATGCCAAGTTAATCTAGTCCCATTTGCTAGCATTTGGCCCATATCCCTCTAAACCCTTTCTATTCATATACCCATTAAATGTTGTAATTGTACCAGCTTCCACCACTTCCTCTGGCAGCTCATTCTATACATGCACCGCCCTGTGTGAAAAAGTTGCCCCTTAGGTCCCTTTTACATCATACCCCTCTCACCTTAAATCCATGCCCTCTAGTTTTGGATTTACCCACCCTGGGGAATAGACCTTGGCTATTTGCCCTATCCGTGCCCGTCATGACTTTATAAATGTCTATAAGGTCACCCCCCCCGGCCTTCGATGCTCCAGGGAAAATAGCCCCAACCTATTCAAACTCTCCCTATAGGTCAAACACTCCAACCCTGGCAACATCTTTGTAAATCTTTTTGGAACCCTTTCAAATTTCACAACATCCTTCCTATAGCAGGGAGACCAGAACTGAATGCAGTACTCCAAAAGTGGATCTTCAAAAGTCTTTTGCTGCCTAATGCGACATGTGGATATTGTTCTGTCAAACACCAAGGATTACTTCCCAGATCTTGAATATTTTAATGCCCCTTCACAAGTTGAAGGTGTTGTTAAATAAAAGTATCAAGACAGCTGGCCTCGCTAAATTTTGTCCAATTGTCAAACCTTGAAGTTGTCACCTAACAGATGATGTATGTGTGAACAAAGCTCAAGAAAAATCAATGCCTTGTGTCTTTTCAGTCTTGCTGCTATACCTCAATACTGATTTACTTTTGTTTGATTTTCACGTAATATAACATCTGTTCTATATCATGTGAGTGAGTTTGATGTGTCAGTACAATATAACCAATTTCATAGTGGGGGTTACTACATTGAAAATGCTATACATAATAAGTGAATCAAGGACTTTAATTATCCCATACAATCAACTATAACATATTGTAATCATCACTAATGTAATCTCAGATTGTCTCTAAAAAATAATGTGACTAAGCGATCATCAGCAAGTTGGCAACTCACACTTAATGTCTCGAAGGAATAGCACAATGGCTCAGTGGTTAGCACTGCTGTCTGACAACACCAGGGACCCAGGTTTGATTCCAGCCTCAGGTGACTGTTGATGTGGAGTTTGCACATTCTCCCCATATCTGTGTGGGTTTCCTCCAGGTGCTGTGGTTTCCTCCCACAGTCCAAAGATGTGCAGTGGATTGGCCATGGGAAATTGATGATAGTGTCCAGAGATGTGCAGTTTAGGTGGATTAACTATGGGAAATGAAAAGTTACAGAAATAAGGTAGGGGGTGGATCTGGGTGGGATTCTGTTTGGAGGGCAGTATGGACTCGATGGGCCGAATGGCCTTATTCAACACTGCAGGGATTCTATGATTCTATCTATAAAGAAATAGAAATATGGTATAATTCTTAAATCATAGTCACGAGACTACAGAAAATGGTAAAACAGAGGTTACATTTCAAGTTGCAGTGGGATTTAGTCAAAGTATCCCTTCATTTCAGTGAGCTGAAAGTAATGAAGGCAGGGTAATGTCCTGCCTCTGAACCAACAGGCTCAGGTTCAAGTCTCACCTGCTGCAGAGGTGTGTAATAACACTTCTGAACAGGCTGATTAGAAAATATCTGTGGTGCACTGGTAACTTGTGGCAACCTCTGGGCCAGAAAACCTGAGTTCGAGTCCCACCTACTGCAGAGATGTATCATAACGTGTCTTAACAGACTGATCAAAAACATCTAAAACACTGAAGGAAATCAAATGATGATTAGCCTGAAAATGGTTGAGTGCTGTGATGTTATAGTTGATACCAATTAATGACAATGCTGTTAAATGATAATCATTTGGGATGTCAATTCGTAGCTGTTCAGTGCAATTGATATCAATTGGTAGCTGAAATTTCAGTGTTATTGAGATCAAACGATGCTTGAATGAAAGCAGTTGAGAGCAACTAACGTCAAAAGTTGTCAAACATTTCAGGCAGCTCACTCCCAGTACCAGTTATTCCCTGTGTAAACCACCTCAAGCCTCTCCATTGGATTTTACACATACTCTACAATGCAGTTCTAATCTGGCTGTAAATTAAGGAAGGACTCTTTGTTGGATGTTTCTGGATGACATGTGATCTTATTCTGTGCTCATCCACAGGTATTACTGCGGATTAAGGAGAATGAAGTGCAGAATCTCAGGAGGGAGACTATGTGCCTACGGGATGAGCTTCAGTCTGTGCAATGGGTGAGTGCAGCTCACATTCAGGATGCTGCAGCAAAGACTCGGGACTGCACTTCTGTCTCCTGTGTATGTGTTCATTGTCCAGAATAACCAGGATGATTTCTGTTAATGAATTTCTTTTGCAGGATAAGAAGTATGCAACAGACAGGTACAATGAAATCTACACGGAGTTAAGTGTCATGAAGGTCAGAACGGAGCGTGAACTCAATCAGGTTAAAGAACAGTTAAAGCTGGCTATGGCTGCACTCAAAGAAAAAGACACCTTGCAGAACAGCATCACAAAATGAAGGTGGGTTGTGCTCCTCCGTGACCTGAGACCCAGTTCTGAAGGCTGGAGCTGACACTTGCAACATGATCGGAAGGACCTCATTTCTAAAATTCTGATTCTCTTTTTCAAATTCCTTCATGTCCTCATCTCTCCCTGTCCATGTAACTTCATCCAGCCCCACACATTTCTCAGATCTCTGAACTCATCTGATTCAGAGGCAAATTCGTAAGATAGACAGCGGCTGAGGGAATGTGTACGAAACACAGGAAATTACATAAAGTGAAATAATTAAGTCTCCAGGGATATTGCGAACTTGAGTTGAGATCCCTTCAGTTGAGATGAACTAATTCAGCATAGAGATTAAGCCTGGATCCATCTTCTTTTTTCCCAGTTGTTCCAAGTTAAGTGTGAGTTTGATATTCTACTAGTTTTTAAGGGGTTGTGCCAAAATTTGACTGTTAGCTTTGACTCTTTACTAATTTACCGAAGCCATGGAATTAAATTTGCTTGTCATTTGTTTAAAAAGTCTGCAGTGTTTGTTTACATATTAGTGATATTGAATAAGTTTCTGCAAGAAGCCTATATATCCAACTGGGCTTCAAGCCTAAGGATTTAGGAGGAAACTGAATAAACACACAAGGCAGAAAAGAATAGAAGGAAACGATGATTGAGTGAGATAAAGGAGGGCTGGGGGGTGACTCATGTGACTCCAGAGTGATGCCAGTGGAGCTCCATCACAGATGAGCTGCTGGCAGAGCTCTGTGGCAGGAGGAATTGTTAAATATTTCATGTGGAGTCATAGAAGTGATGAGCAAGGAAGGGCCCTGTGAAGCCTCGACTAAGCAGGGAGGGGCCCTTTACCATCCAAACACTGCCAGTTTGGTCCTGTCTCCAGGATTTCACTCAAAACTGCTCAACATCTGTGCTTTTCCTCTTTACGGTGTTATGTCCAGTTAATCTGGTCAGGGCCCCTATTGCCAAACTCCAGAACTAACCAAGGGGTGAGCTCCTTTGCCACATTCTAATCCTCTCATTTGTGACTGAGGGTTTCCTGCATGTCTAGATCCCATCTGCATTTCATTTTCTGAGGCATTTAGATAAATCTCCCTCTTTCCCTCCATTCTCTAGGGATGTCACCTGGAGGTTTTCCTGCTTTATGTTGGGATCGTGTGCCTTGTGAGAGTGTATCGGTGCCCTCATTCTAGGCACCCACTAGTATGAGACCATTTTTCTTTACCTACTCTATCAATTCCCTGCACCAGAAAGCCTGTCAACCCACCATTTCATCATCTCTATTCCAGTCTAGTTACATGTCATCTTATATAAGAACATAAGAATTAAGAACAGAAAAGGCCATTCAGCCTCTTCAGCCTGCTTAGTTGTTCCATAAGATCATGGCTGAGTTGATTATGGTTTTAACTCCGTTTTCCTCCCTGGCCATCTTCATCCTTGACTCCCATGTTAATCAAAAATATGTTTAATTCGATGTTGAACATATGTAATGACCAAGCCTCCATTACCCACTGGAGAAGAGAATTCCACAGCCTAATAATGGTGTGAGAGAGGAAATTCCTTATCAACCTCTGTCTTAAATGTAAGGCCTTTTTATTTTTAAACTCTAGCCCCTAGATTCTCCAATGAGGGGAAATATCATCTCAGCATCCACCTTGTCAAGCTCCCTCACAATCTTACACGTTTCAATAAGATCATATCTCATTCTTCTAAACTTCAATGTGTATGGCCCCACCTGCTCAAACTTTCCTCACAAGGCCAACCCCTTCATCTCAGGAATCAGCCCAGTGAACTTTCTCTGAACTGACTGCAATGTAAGTATATTGCTCCTTAAATAAACAGACCAAAACTCTGTGAGCTCTTGTAGCATTCTGGGTTTATTTGCCCTGGACTCCAAGGATCATTGGGCCTTGGGAGCCACATGAGAATCATGGACAATAGTTTGGTCAATACCTGAAATAGTTGAGCCAAGAGCATTTGATGCAACCTCTGGGTGTAAGCAGGAAAGATATACCTCATGAGTACCTAATATATTGATGAATTCAGAGAACGGAAAAAATAGAGAATTTGGAAAGGTGTTTAAAATTGTAAATGGGAAGGTCATTCATTCTTCTTGTTTTCTTTTGTCTTCCTTCACAGACCAGGGCCCTGGCATCACCACACAGGAAGAGAAGTTAAATTTAATGCTTAAGCCTTCAGTAATGATCCAAGATGGTGAAAATCCCTGTGAACAAGGAGCTGTGAAGAAGACAACCACTCCTTTTTCTTGCCTTTTCTTAATAAGTTCTCCCACTGTGGATTACTGCTGTGAAATTAAAAGTGAATAGACATATAGAAATGTATTCACACAGGTTATCAATTTAATCCCTTGCTGCCTTTGAAACCCTGTTTTCGGCTCCCAGCCAAGCACCCCTCAGTTTAGTTGTCACCACAGTGACGTTATGCTGACGGTGGTCTTCCATCATCCAATGCTCACAGATTGCTGACTGTATTCTGCAGCAAATGCTACTTGCTGGGTTGCTCATATAGCCCCCTCCCTTGCATTTCTCCCTTTTATCCCTGTGGGGCACCAGGAATTAGGGTTGCCAACATCCCCCAAATTGGTCATCAGAATGTTCATCTAGCCAATGGGAAAGCAAGCAGGCTCTATGTTACTCAATTAGACAGCTTTTGACTGTCACTCAAACTCCCAACATTTTTGTAATTATTCAAACAAATGTTGAGAGGCTTTTTAACTTGATATTTCTTCTCCAGGGCTTGCTTGTCCCTGAGCCTCTTGGGTAATCCTGCAAGAGTTAACAATCCTCACTGCAGATCCACTTGGTGTAACTGACTGTATAGCAAATCCCTTTACCCACTTTTGGTAAACATTGCATTTAAGAACAGCTATTTTTTAAAGAAATTGAAAGCAGTTTATTATTCCTATTAAATGTTATATAAAGCACTATTTGAGGGTAACATGTTGCAATGTTAAGACATAATAGGTGGGTCTTTAATAATAGCTTATATGGTATTTTTTGTGTATTTGTCCCATCATCAGTCAGATGCTCCCTTAAAGCCAGCACTTAGGCTGTGCCTAGGAACATAGGACATGGAACAAGGGAAAGCAGTCGATTGAGCCCGTTCCACTGTTCAGTCACGGAAGGTCTGCTTAATTCCAGCAGCCTCCCTTGGTTTCACAACCATTAGCACTAGCATTCAGCAGGAACTATTGAAGGGGATGTCACCTTATGTCTGCCTGCTGTCATGGAGTTCAAAGATAACTGTTGAAAGTCACATTGCAAGAGAACAGTGAGAAATCTCTTTTTGTTTCTCTTTGTCCTGTTCTCCTGGTCCCACATTTCACTGATTCTTGAAGGGTGTTGCTCATACACAGTAACAGCTCCTTGAGCTCCCTCTATCTGGACCTTACCCAAGTGCCCTGATATCATGTGTAGTTTGGTTTATGTAGATATGTGGGGGGCCTGAACATCAGCAGTCGCCTGTAAAAAAAAAACACCTTTACAGAGAGTCTCTGATCAATGCCAACAGAATTTCAGGAAGGTCTGACTGCTATGGATGCTCCACTTCTGTTAATATTAGTCGTGTAGGTACAAGATGCATGAAGGGAGCAGAGAAAACATTGTAAATGTAAATGGTCCCAAAGAAGGCAGAGAAGAGTTGGTTCAGTTACGTTTGGTCAGCTGTAGCCACTCATCACAATGTTTCAGTTCAAATGTCATGGATATGGTGAAATCCATGCACCAAAGTGCCTTTTTGTCTAATATGGTGTGTATACCACCTCCTTGTATGGAAACACTATTAATGTAGGTAGATATGGTTCAATCTTAACTACCCTCTGAAATGGCCAAGCAAGCCACACTGTTTTAATGTCAGTTAAGGATGGGCAACAAATGCTGGTCTTGTCTATGACCCTACATCCCATCAAAAAAATAAATTGTTATAAAGTTAATTCATCTCCAGTGAACATTGCTATATACAGGCTCAAGAAAAGCTAAGGAACATTCAAGTGATTAAGTTAAATCAACTGAAACTGCACAGTAAGGTAACTATTGCACCAGCTATCCAGCCGTTAATCCCTTTAGGCATGGCCTTGCAAGATTACCTAAGGAGTTTTGGAGCCCCCAATGATTGCAATCCTCACTCCCACGCCCTCTCTCCAGGCTGTCATACCCATCAGCAGGCAGGACCTGACTCATTGTCAGTCTTCCTGGCAGTCCCTCTTCCCTGTCAGATGTACTTGACTTCAATCTTTTATTGTCAGGAGCATGAGCCATGAACAAAACTGACCCATCCAATGTGTCTGATTTACCAGGCTGTTGTCCAATATCTGGTCCTGAAGGAGCATAATTTTCCTTCTGTCCTAACCACAAATTCCACTCCCTAACTCACCATCTACTCAACACCCGCCTGCGTTCACTGATGTGCACTGATTCCCAGTCCACCAAGCCATGAATTTTATAACTCTCATGCTTGTTCTCAAATTGTTACATAGCTTCACCTTCCCTCTTTGTAATCTCCCCATCCTCACAACTCTGTGAGATCTATGCATTTCCCTAGTTCTAGCCATCATCCTATCATTAGCAGATCTACCTGTATCTGCCTGGGCCCTAAGCTCTAGAATTCCTTCCCTAAATCTCTCTGCCTCTCTACCTATGATTCCCCTAAACTGTGTTGCCAACAAGGACCTGAATGTTCTCATGAGGGCTGCACACACGTTCGTCCCTTTATAATGCTACATCTGCTTGGTCACATAAGAATCTTTAAAAGACCTGCAGTTTTTTGTCACCTGTCTTAACAGCTTCTTATCTAATTCATGGGTAACCCTATTCCTTCTACCCAAGATATTTTGCTATGACAAAAACATTGCATCAACATGAGTTTTTTTTTTAGTGTACCTTCAGCCAGCTATCACATAAACAGTTTGGACATAATTCCTGCTACCCAATGTCTCTGACCATAAGTGTCTAGTCTCAATTTCTCCAATGCCACTGTAAGTTGTGGGTCTCAACACTCAAGAAGCCACTTGTTTTATTTATCAATATGCTGCAATGAAGTTACTGTTTTTGACATCAGATAAATACTTGCAACAAAGGGGAGGAAAAAAAACTGTGTACACAATTCTTTTTTATTTACTCATTCACAGGATGTGAGGGTCACTGGCAAAACTAGCATTTGATGTCCATCTCTAATTGCCGTTGAGAAAGTGATGGTGAAGCATCTTTTTAAACTACTGTAATCCTTCTGGTCTGGGAACACCCATAATAATGTCAGGGAGGGAGATCCAGGATTTTGATCTGATGACAGTGAAGAAATAGTGATATATTCCCAAGTCAGGATGGTGTGTGTCTTGTAGGGGAACTTGCAGCTTGTCGGGTTCTTGTACCTGTTCGCTGAGCCGTCCTCCTAGATATTATAAATCACAGGTTTGAAGGGTCCCGTCTAAGAAGCCTTGGTGAGCTCCTGTGGTGTACATTGAAGAAGGTGCACAGTGCTGCCACTATGCATCAACAGTATGGAAGTGAATGTTGAAGCTGGTGGATGTGATGCCAGTTGAGTGGCTGTTTTACCTAGGGGGTGTCACGCTTCTTGAGTATTGTTGGAGCTGCACTCATATAGGCAAATTCCATCACACTTCTGCTATATGTCTTATGGTTGGTGAACGGGCTTCGGGGATTCAGGAGGTGAGTTCCTAGCCTCTGACCAGATCTTAGCTGGTCCAGTTCAGTTTCTGGTCAATTGTTGCCGCAGAATGTTGATAGCAGGAACATTCAGTAGTGATGGTAATGCCATTGCATGTCAAGGGAAAATGGTTAGATTCTGTCTTGTTGGCAACAGTCATTGCCCTGACACAGTGTGAGCATGGATGTTAGTTGTCTTTTATCAGCCCAAACCTCAATGTTATTCAAGTCTTGCTGCATATGTACACAGACTGCTTTAATATCTGAGCAGCTGTGAATGGTATTGAACATTGTACAAACATCTGCGAACATCCCCACTTCTGACTTTATGTGGAGGGAAGATCATTGATGAAGCAGCTGAAGATGGTTGGGCCTAGGACACTATCCTGAGGAACTCCTGCAGAGATGTCCTCAGACTGAGATAATTGACCTCCAACAACCACAAGCATCTTCCTTCATGCCAGGGATGACTCCTACCAATGGAAACCTTTTCCCCTGATTTCTATTGACTTAAGTTTTGTGAGGGCTCCTTGATCTCGGTCAAATGCTGCCTTGATGTTAAGGGCAGTCACTCTCATCTCTCCTCATCTCATCCATACTGCAGGTTCTAATTTGACTCGTAAATCAGAAAAAATGCTTTACAAAGTTACAATAACGTGAGTTAACGGAAGAAGCACTGCAGGCAGCTGCCATGTATCAAGCAAGCCGCTGTGTGATATGAAGTTATTGCAATATTCTATAAGAGTATTTTTCAATGTAGAGTACACTATAAAATAAATGTTTAATTATGAGTGAAAATTTGAAAAGTTATTCAATTTGTGACTCAGCAACTTTCAGCTGCTCAGGATGCAGAAGTAATGTCAACTAATTCATAGGAAATAGGTGCAGGACAAGACCATTCAACCCAACAAGCCTACTCCAACGTGAAATAATGTCATGGCTTAAAGTCAAGTGGACTGTCCAACATCTTCACCACTCCATGCGATATAGATTGGAGGTCAGTGGGCAAGCCATACATAGTATTTTACAAGACCCCTTCACACCTTCAGACACAGGGCACCATAACACCATAAAGGACTACCCCAAAACAAGAACATCTAAACAAGCATATGAGGGAAAAGGAAACAAAGGGTTATGGTGATTAATTTTGAAGGGGAAAGATGGAAGGAGGCCAAGCGGAGTATGAACAGCAGCATGCAGTGATCAGGCCAAATGGCCTGTTTCTGTACTATGTAACCCTCAACCTTCATGCCCTGATGAAGCTTTGGGCCACTGGTCCCAGTGTGTGCTCATAGGGCTTGATGTCAGACTTTTGTTGGTAACACCCCTTTGAAACATTTTGAAAGATGTTACTATTTAAAAGCACTATGAAAAACATGTTTTTGTAAAACTTGCCAGAAACTTCGTAGCAAAGAACAAGATAGGAGTAGGGAGAGACAGTTGCATCGATATTCTTCTCCCAGCAGCTACTATACCATATGTAGGTTTATCCATGTGTTAAATGGCCTAATTTACTGTGAGCAATGCCACATGGGATTTATGTGCATTGGTACTTAGATACATGCTGCAACAGACCAGATTCTACAAATTCCTGTCTCCGTCATTGCTGAATTAGCCAGTCAGGACCTGACGCTGTACAGTTGAACTTGTGGTATATGTGCACCAGTTCCAGGGTCAATGTTGTACTTTCGAGCACATCAGGAACTCTATGACCCAAGGAAATGGCAGTGATTCAACATGGTGGACTTCTCTGTTTGGCAGGGGTTTGGCACAATGGGCCCATCAATTATCAAAGATTCCAAAGCAGTCACTTTTTTGCTCCTTAAATTATTTTGGGGAATGTTGGGTCGGATTGTGAGCTCCACCAAGGTCAGGACAGAAGGTGAATAGTGTGTACCAGTTTCACATTTCGGTCAAGGTGGTTTTGAGCCTGCCAAGGCCTTCTGCCCCCAATTACAGATACGGTGAGCAGCTGATTAGAGATATATTGAGGGTAAATGATGAAGGCTGCCCAGTACTTTGCCACAGGTTGTAGTGTGATTCCAAGTGACTGGATGGGATCTGAGTGCCAGCAGGCCCACAGCCTGCCTGAGCGGTGGGGTGCAATCAAAGGCTGCCATGTAGATCAATTCCACCCCTTGGGGCTTGGCTACTTGTTGTGTCTTTTTTTAATTAATGTATTTTGAAAGTGGCTGATAGGGAGTTGTTGAAGCTCCCTCACCCTGCTCTGCAGCCTTTGATTGGCCCTTCAACTTCAATAACCTGCCCATCAAAATCTATACTGTTTCCCTCGACAGTAAGCTTCCAACCTGGAAACAGACCTGACTCCAGTTCTCCATTCCACAAAAGCAAACATTCAGCCTTTACAGTTTTATCAAATTGAGAGAAACTTGTACTAGCGCAAATCACTTATGTTTGATAAGTCAGAATTAGCATCAAACACTCAGCACAGTTAGATTAGAAGTCAGACTCTACGTGTAGTTTGGCTTCAACTGCACACCACAATGCTACATCAATATAATCTCTTCTATTCCAGTTATTGTGAGGTTCAGTTTAATCCAGTTGCTAATGCAATTTGTGCTGTAGACCAATGGGATATGCAAACTTCCTCATGTTTTGTATCATCACTAAGATGTTGTTTTTCTACCCGTGTAACATCACCTCCACCTCTGTACATTTATTCAAAGCTTCACCTACACCTTCATTATCTCTAGTCTCATCTGTTCCAGTGCAGTCCTGGCTGGTCTCCCACATTTTACCTTCTTTAAATCTGAGGTCGCCCTAAACTCCACCCAAGTGCCATTCCTCTGTCACCCCCTGTGCTCACTGACCTACGTTAGTTTTTGGTCAAGCAATATCTAGATACTAAAAATTGTCATCCTTTCTTTCAAATCCTTACAATGGCTTTGTCCCCTCCCTATCTCTGTAATCAGCTCCATAACCGCCTGCAATATCTGCACTCCTTTAATTGGGCATCTTGTACATTCCCAATTATAGGGCCTCTATTGGATTCAGGTAATTAAAAATGGAACTTCTCCAAATCTGGATATTGTTTGGTCCGCATTGCAGTAAACTTTGACCCTAAATAACTGGGCTGAGAGATGTTTGGAGGTTGCCAACTGCTGACTGGCTTTGCATGCTTGACATTTCCTATGCTGGGGTGAACCATGACCCGACTTGACCCTGGCACTTTCTGCATCCCCTGTTTATGGATTAATTTTGATTTGAAAAACTCAAATTTGGCACGCACATGGTCCCAAAATGTCAGCTCAGACTTCCTATAGCTATACCTCATGATGTGGCTTGGTGGCATCTGTGAAGTGCCTCAATTTTACAGGTGCTATGTAAATATAAATGCTGAAGTAAATGAATTTCACATTGACTGCAAAAAAGCCAGAGAGAACCATCACCCCAGGACCTGGAGGTTCAGAACTTTTGAACACACTGCGCTGCTTGCCCCTTTGGTACCTACAAGTTATTGCTCTACTTTCAATTAACGAACAACTTTATTCCCAAATATTATAATATTAAATATATAAAATATGAGTTTTAATTCATTTGTTTTGCAGTGTCAGAACATTTTGCACTGACAATGGTGACCTTTTGAGCTTCTCGTTCTTTTGCCATCAAGGATGAATTACAGTGAAACTAGAAAATATAGCAAGGTTCAAAACCAGTTCAAATACCAGCTGCTAGAACTAGTTAAGACCAAGCCTGGTTGGTACAAAAGGGGTTAAGAGATACTGCAAGATGTTGCTTATACCTTACCTAGAATAACTAATGTATTGATGTAGATAAAATGGATTATGATTGGGTGGTTTACTAGGTAGTGTGTACAGAATCATGTAGTTGGATCTCCCTGGAATGCCTGGAAATGGCATATCTGTAACATAGGTAATTGATCAGTGTAAATGGACACTTTATTCAGAAGTGCAGTTCTCATCATGTGAAACTCAAGGAACTTGAGTCTGATTTGATCACTACAGGTTATGGGAGGGAAGAAAACTTCCCACTTCAGCACCATGTACAAGATGCTGTGCAGAAATTTACCAAGGTTCTTTGAACAGTACCTTCCAAACCCACAACCACACCAATCTAGAAGGACAAGGATAGCAGATACATAGGAATATCACCTCCTGCAGGTTTCTCTCCAAGTCACTCATCATTCTGACTTGGAAATATACCACTGTTCCTTCAGTGTCTCTGAGCAAAGTCCTGGAACCCCGTGACTAAAAGCATTGTGGCTCTACCAACACCACATGTACTGCAGTGGTTCAAAAAGACAGCTCATCACCAACTCCTCCAAGGCAGCTAGGGATGGGGAATAAGTGCTGGCCGAGCCAGTGATGCCTACAATCCATGAATGAATTTAAAAAGAAATATTAACCACATGACCTTCATTAGCCTTTCTGTTACATCATCTATAAATCCCAGCTGGCATTCCTTAATTAATCCACAATTACCCAAGTGAATATTAATAATATCCCAAGGTATCACTTTTAAAAATCATTCCCATCACCAAGTTAAAATGACTGGCCAGCAATTGCTTGATTTATCCTTGCGTCCTTTTTTGTACAAGGGTGTAACATTTGCATTTCTCTGGCGCCACCCTGAGATTAAGGGAAACTGGATGATTATGGCTAGTACTTCCAGTATCTCCAACCTAAAAATCAGCCCAAGCACATTGGATTGTGGACAAGTTTAGTTTGTGATTAAGCAAATGATTTTGAGCCGCAAGTTGAATTTCAGAAAACTGGCACAACTTTTTAAAGCATCTGATTGTCAACTGTGGCCAACAATGTCTACCCCAAGGTCTATTTTTTTCTCTATCCATTGACACAGGAAGAAACAGTTGTGTATAGCCAATAAATCAATGGCAGGACCTTATAACATCAACTGGCCTGAAAATTAGAAAATTAATGTCAGAATTCATACAAATATCATATGCTTCAGACTTGATGCACTTCAACAAACCAGCTTTCATGGTGATGTCCGTCAGGTGGGAGTGGACAGCTGAACCATCTTATTGCTTGGTCTTCCAATAATCCTATTTCAGAGATTTTCGTACAAAACAGATGTTGCTGGAAAAGCTCAGTAGGACTGGCAGCATCTGTGAAGAAAAATCAGAGTTAATGTTTTGGGTCCAGTGACCCTTCCTCAGAACGGATGGTAGCTCGGAAAATGTCAGCTTGTATGGTGGGAAGAGAGGTAAGGAGTTAACAATAGTTTGGGATAGACCCCAAAGAGAAAGAAGGAGAATTGGACAGACGAAGGAGTTGATAATCTGGCTGGGAGGGTGAACAGCTGTTAATGTGGCATGTTAGTGGCTAACAGTAGGTAGTGTGTAATGCCAGACTGTGTGATAACTCTGATTTTTTCTTCACATATGCTGGCAGACCTGTTGAGCTTTTCCAGCAACTTCTGTTTTTGTTGCATGTGATAACAATGTGTGAGTAGGGGACTAGGGCAAGGGAGAGTTCAGGCCATAAAATTATTGATCTTGGTATTGAGTTCGGAGGACTGCAGGGTCCCCAAGTGGAAAATGAGGTGTTATTCTTCTAGCTTGCACTGAGCTTTGCTGGAACACCGCAGCAAATCTGAGACAGAGATGGCAGGCAACAGGAAGCTAAGAGTCTTTTTTTGTGGGCAGGACGTAGATGTTCTGTGGAGCAGTCACTCAGTCTATGCTTTGTTTTCCCAATGTAGAGGCGACCACATTGTGAGCAGCAAATGCAGTAGACTAGATTCTGGGAAGTGCAGGTAAAGTGCTGCTTCACCTGGAAGGTATGTTTGGATCCTTGGATAT